TTTTCAACCCGCCCGCCCCCCCCCCCCCCGCCCCATGTACAGTATTCCAGGTTGCCTAAAGTAATGTGGGAATTGAATGCCATGCCGCTGTGGAAGCTCAATAAACAAGCAGGATGTGGACAGCGTGGGGAGTCATGGGAACACATCTGAGTCGGAAGGTTTGGCACGATTGCTTGAGGAAGATATGTTGTAAATTCCAACTGCTTCCTCCACTTTAAGGCTACAAACCCAAACGGGATGTCATCATATTTCCTTGCCTATGATAAGTCTTTTCTCCTTTTGACCAATGGAATTCCAAAATTCATCCTCACAGGGTCAGCGCGCTGGCCCTTGTGGACGTCAGCATTTTTTCCATCCTCTGATTGGTTGGTTAGAGCAAGTCAACTTTGACTGTAGGAATTACATTTTGTTTAAAAAAAAAAAATGTTTTCACATGATTAGATGAATATTGATCCCGAACTGTTCCGCATGATGGTTACAATGTGTTAGTGGTGGTATGATTTTTAATTCAGGCGAGATTCCAAAGAAGGCCCAAAAAGAAAACATTCAAGTGTAGGAGAATTGGAGATCACTTTTGAACTGACTCGACGTGGCTCTTTTGGATCTCTCACATCCACGCTTGTCTTGGAGGTTGCGACAGCTGGCAGCTTTGTTACTCTGTGCCGCCCCCCCCCCGAAGCCCCGCCCACCCACTGCTGTATTAAAGGATAACTTATTGAAGGGGAAAAAAAACAACAGCTGATCAATGGCTGCGCTGTTCAATAGCCTTCCGGTGGCACATTTTATACAATCAATCCAGTTTATTGAACTGAGTTGGTTGGTAACCGCAGACAATAATACTAAAGAGCCATTTGCATTGTTGCTCACGACACCTGAATGACGCCTGCTGGTTTTGTTTAGTACACATCGTCACATTCAGCATTTTTTTCCTTTTTTTTTTTTTTTCATCAGGAGACAGTGAATTGATTGTGAAATGGTCTCCGCGGGCATCCATCAGCTGTCTTTATGCTTGAGGTTTGGCTGCTGGAGCCGCCGCTGGTGGCTGCTTGCCACCAATGGACCTCAATGGAGCACAAACAGGACATCTGCATGCCTACTTGTTTATCACAGCTCGGAAAAAAAGCAACCTTTTTAACAACTGCATCGGAATTATTTAAAAAAAAGTTTAATAAATGTATTAGTTTAATTAAACAAAAACTAGTGTTGGTTATTTTTGTCTCTATTATGCGGATAAATATGTTCATGGAATTCTTTTGCCAGTTATTTCATGTTATGACGTAGTCATGGTATGTTTAATTTTTCCTTTTGTAGGGAGTGATTGTATATTGAATCTTGCCGATTGCATCAGAAATGTTGGAGATGATGTACACTTTTTTTTCCTCCCCAATTGCATATCTATCCAGACTTCAGGGACACCATACAGACAATATGCAATTTATATTGAAAAGCCATTTTAATCGTCCCTGACCTCTACTTTGCTGGCAGATAATAAAACTTGACACCGATTTGTGTGCTTATTGACCTCCTCTCTTTCATTTGGAGATGCACGTGTGAGACACACACACACACACACACACACACACACACACACACACACACACACACACACAAAACCCTCAAGCCTTTGTTCCTCTCCCAAAAAAAAAAAAAGGGGTCCATTTCAGGAATTCTGTACTGGCAAAGCGATCTCGTTATTCTTAAACTTTCTCGGATTCCGTACTATCCTCCTGCCCGCTTCACCACGCCCTAGCCCCGCCCCCTCGCATAATGTGCCGGCTCTCAAATGAATGGCACGACGCACACACAAACACGCGCGCACGTACACACTTGCGCGAGCACACACAAACAGATGCAGACACACAAAACAACAGTAGTCCCATAACGCTCTCCTCCGGCCCACAGCCGGGGCAAAGAATACTGAAAGTTATCCGAACCGAGCGGGCCATGTGTTATTTGTGACCCAGAAACTTAGCAGCCGGCTGGGCACAGGAAGAGATTTTGAAATGGAGTAAGGCTTTTTCCTCACCTCATCGACTGTGGTCCCGCTCAAGTCAGACTACAAAGGGACGTCAGGTCGGACCTCGTCAACATGGAGACATTCTTCTTGGAGGTAAAGTCGCTTATTTCCCCGCGTACTTTTAAGTTTGTCTTTCAGGTTTAAAAGTCATTTTTTATTAGTTTCGTCCTCGTCGCGCTGACAGTTTTCCATCTGTAACGACACAAAAGAACAACAAAAATCTCCATTTCGTATTCCCATCTCGTCATTTCAGAACTGGAGGACAATTTAGCCACCACCATTTATGAAAAACGGACCGTTAAATATATATTTATGTTTGGCTATTTATATGTTTATATGGCTCAGTGGTCTAGTGGTTCACAGTTCTAAGTTCAGGGGTTCAAATTCAGTTTCTGGCCTCCCACTGTGGAGACTGCTTTTTCCCTCTTTGATTGTGTGGGTTTTCTGCAGGTAACTTCTCCCACTTTTCCACCAAGTTACACCAATTATTAACCCAAGTGTATGTTTGTTTCTGGAAAGGACAGAAAATGTCCTCCCTATTCTGACTTGTACTTCCTTGATAGGCATCCCCCCGCGACAACATGTCACAACAATCCGTTTCAATTGTGCTCCGATAATCCCGTTACAAGCAAGCAGAGCCACATGACAATGTCAATGCACTTCTTCACGTGTGGCGCTTTGACAGCACATGTTTTCCTCTTGTTTTTATTTGGAAGTCCCAAGCAGTTTGTGAGTGTGGAGTGGATGCAAGTAGACTTCACCTGTCAACTCCACAGAGACGCAGACACACATGGGTGCTGTCATTGTTTAGACTTGATGGGTCACACTGTTGTGACTCACACATCTGCAAGCAGTGATGGGAACGGGATGTGACTCGCGGGATTACTTTATTTTGGGACAGCTCTTTTTTGAAATAAATATACAATAATCGGGAGTTAATAAGTACGGATGCTATTAGGGTACATTTTTTTACATTTACAAATATATCTTCCGACGGATAGCCTCGTCGGATTTAATTTTGAGAGAATCGTGGATGAGAAGCCTTGGGTGGATTATTGTGAGTCAGCCTCGGATGAATGTGAGGCCTGATTCATGGCTGGGAGTTCGTCATGAACCATGCTGAGCCATTCGATTGATTGATAGGTTGGCTGGCTTCTCGCTGATGCTTGAAAATTGAAGTTCTTGGTGGGTTTCCGATTGCGTGACACACCCGCTGAAGACCATTCTGTCTGTCCACACTGCCCGCAGTCCACACCCGGTCCGCCCTGCCCTGTCTTGTCAGTGACTTTTCAGCTCTGACTGACGATACACAGGGTGCGGATTTGGAGGAAACGCGGTCTTTATGGCCTTTGTGAAGCATCCTGTCGAGCCGCCACCTTCAATTCTAAACTGGGCAATCCTTTAAAGTGGCAGCTGCCTCACACTGTGAAGTCAAACGAAGACCTTTCCACACCCGTTAACGCCCTCCGAGCAGACCCTCGCATTACAGGCCAGATTCCTTCCCCCTGAAAGGTATTCTGACCAGACGGAATCCCGGAGTCCTTTTCCCCCCCGACCCCTGAAATTCCCAGCCGTGCCGGCATGTCATCCCGTGTCGCGTACAAGTGCCGCGGCCGCTTGAGGTTTTGGTTACCGCTCGCATTCTTCCCACCCCTGAAACATCCACTCCGGTCGGCTTTTTCAAGCTCAAGCCAAAGCGGATCAACACGCTGGAGAAGAATATTGTTGTGAAAAGGGTAACTGAACGCGCTGGTCATTTCCTCCAGCTGTTGAAGGCATCTGAGATCACTGCGCCGCCACCTCCAGCCACACGGACGCTCGATTTAGCAAGGAAGGAAGTCAGGAAGTGAGGCGAGGATACAAGGAAGGAAGGAAAGGAGACAAAAAAAAAGACATTCCTTTTGAATGCTGTTGCTGCTCGTAATCAAGATTTGCCAAAAGGGTCACTTGAGAAATTTGAAATCATGTTATTTAGCTCTTTGGGGTTTTGTTTTGTTTTTCAGCTTGCTAGCTCACATTTGCATTCTCAGCATCTGTGACCTGACCCGCCTGTTTATCGGCGACCCGGTCAGTGCTGCGATAACCTCCTGCTGACACCCTGCTGTCGGTGTTAGCTCAAGGCGTCTCTTCCATAATTAAAGTGACTGCGTTTTGTAACAATAGAGCACAGGAGTTCATTGATCCATTTTGCTAGCTTGTGATGATGCAAGGGCAGTAAACGTAAGGATTGACGCGTCAGCGTTTCAACAGCGCCATGCGAATGCAGTGCTTCCCCAAATCCACTAAGCACAAAAAAAACCAACAACAAAAAACTTACTGATTCAATTAAATGCTGTTATACCCACATAAATTGTTTAAAAACAAACATCAGCGTTTCAACAGCGCCATGCGAATGCAGTGCTTCCCCAAATCCACTAAGCACAAAAAAAAAACCAACAACAAAAAACTTACTGATTAAATTAAAATGCTGTTATACCCAAATAAATGTTTAAAAACAAACGGTTGTTCAAGAAAGCAAATAAGTAAGTAAGATAACCTTTATTTGTCCCACACTGGGGAAATTTGGAGTCTACAGCAGCAAAATTGTGAGGGGGGGGGGCAAAGTGTTTCATTGCACAAAATAAATGTTTCAGAAAATAATTGTACACAGTTCAATATAATAATAAATGTATTGAAAATTGTTGTTAAATACAACTTTGAGAAGCGCCGCTTGGGGGGGGGCAAAGTGTTTCATTGCACAAAATAAATGTTTCAGAAAAGAACTGTACACAGTTCAATATAATAATAATAAATGTATTGAAAATTGATGTTAAATACAACTGAACTGTCGCACGATGCTAACCACACTTGGAGAAGCGCCGCTCTGGTGGTCTGCTTTTTCAACGGATCCCTTCTTCTTGGTCTACAAGGTCTGTGAAAGAAAACCAGGAAACTAAAATGGAAAAAAAAGAAGAGAACGGAAAATACGACATAACCCAAATGAAACGTGTCTGAAATTTTTTTTTCTTCAAATGAATGTTTTTCAATGCTCACTATGGCCGTGTTCTATCTCCATCCAAGGGGGACAAAGGGAGGCCCATCCCAAATTGGCTTTGAGCCCAATCAATATCCATTCATGAATTCGTTTTCCATCACTTCTGCTGTTTCGAGACAAGTGCGAGCTGAAGTCTGTCGCAGCTGACCTGCGGCGAGAGGCGGGCTACACTCTGGCCTGAGGGTTGCATTTAAAAAAAAAAAAAAAGCAAGGAAACTAAATTTAAAAATGTTCCTACAGAACGTGTTTCCAGAGGATCACATCCTGACCGAAAGCTTTCATTATCCAGTGGGAAACATTTGTGGTTGTCACTTACCGCAGTGACATCACAATTTCAAATCCCCGTACTGCTGTGCTGGCTTTCTGATGAGTCATTCTCCCGCCAATGCCCCTTTTTATAGGGCTTGAGTTGGCCGGCCGTGATGCAGCCACGTTTCTTACCACCCATCCTTCCCTCAAGGTCTTAAAAAAAATAATACTAATAATAATCCAATCCTTTAGTCTAAACATGATATTCTGATGAATATTGCGCTTGTGGACTAAGAATGAATCCATCCCTTTTCATCAATCGCAGGGTGGTGTTATTTGGTCCTACACTGCCCTCTGCTGTCTGCTGAAAGTGAAGTCAAAGTGGCCTCGGCCTCACCTGTTTTACGGGTTTGGTCATGTGATGTTCAAAATGCGAGCCCGCATTTTACATTTGCGTTGAATCCATTTGAAATGTATGTTTTCAAAAATGTCTGTTCTTGTTTTCTTTCGGGATGTATTTATTTTAGCGACAATTTTTATTTCACTTACGTGCAATAACACTATTTTTGCTGAGCGCTGAGCCTGCCGTCCTTGTTTGTGCCAGCCGGAGGTCGATTCTCCAAACCAGACAAGTTGCTTACTCTTCACTGCCACCAAAGGATGGACTTAGTCTAGATTTGCATGCGCTGTGTTATCCGGGATGCTTAGCCAGAGAAAATTAAAGTCGTTGTTTACTGCGGCCTCGCCTGGCACACTAAACGACTTTTGGCCTTGACCTTGGCTGCCCTTGCCCGACTGACTCTATGAGCTCGTAATAAGAGTCGAGCTTAAACCTCTTCTTGCGCTGCGGCTTAATAATAGCCAGCCTGTGATTACTGCTGTCGGCCCAGATGCTGACTTTCCCTTGCTAGCCTCCTGTGATTACCTCGTGGGTGAGACGATGATGGAATATGTTCATCGCTCTCTGCCTCTGCTTTCCATTTTCCGACGATTCAAACTGAAACGGATTGCGGCAACAACTGGAGCCTGTGGTTCAAGGGTACAGTTAAACTCCTCTACAATGAAACCTACATGGGCAAAAATACCATGTGGAAAAAAAATCCTCCCCCTACAATGAAAAGTGAAAGTAAATGCTGATCGTAAATTTTGCAATTTCTTTCCTTTTATTCTTTCTACCCTGGCGGTATGAAGTGTCAAATTATGGTATGATCATACTTATGCACTATTGGAATAAAAATAAAAATTACACATATACGTTTTTTTGTGTGTGTTCGTGTTTACGTCTGAGATCAAATTTGCTACAGTGAAAATTCCCCTGTTGTGAAAAATTTCTTGCTGCAAACATGATTTTGTTGTAGAGGAGTTTCACTCTACCACGTAACCATGGCGTTAAAGGCGCAATTTCAGGTCAAGGATGAGACGAGGTCAAAAGCTGTGAAACTGGACCCCAAATCTCCATCGACCCTTCGATTGCATCAACCACATCGGGCAAGCCTCAAATGTCTCGTTCGGTCCGACTCCTCTGTCTTTGACTCAAAAGCATTCCGGGGATGTCTGCGGTATTCCTGCCGTGTGACCCCCGACTGCTCTCCGCAAATGAGCACCGAGGGGATTGAAGGCGACAGACAGTAGGAGGGACAACAGTTGCTGTGACGGCGATTGCTGTCTCATCACACGTGAAGTGATCACAAAAGTTTTTGATCGGCAGTTTCTCGTCTTTTTGTGTTCAAATTTTTGCAACGCCGCGGCGCCGTTACTTTTCGTTGGCCCGTGACGTTTTCTTTGGTTGTTCGCGTGAAGCGAACCGCGCTAATCAAAAGCAAAGCGACAGCTGCACAATAATTTGTCCTTTCGTATTTGTTTGACTTTGCAACAAAGAATAATCGGAAAAAAACGATTTTTTGGGGGGTGAGGGGGTGGTCAGGGTTTTTTGAATGTCATTATCTTTGTCTTACTGTATGTTGTGATGTGTTAATGTAAAATAAGAAGTCATACAAAACATTGCCAGATTTTTAAAATCACGATTATTTTTAAAGAGCTAATAACGGTTGATTCATCGGTTGGCCAGTAGTAGGCACTGTACATAAGAACAATTTAAAAACAATAACAGATTAAAAAAAAAGAAAAAAAAAAGAGTTGTTCGTACATTGTTGGGCCCCTCACCCCACAAGGTAGCCTCTCTATCATAATCTTTTCCCTCCGTCCTTTGACTTCAAGTTTCATATTCTCCAACACACTGCGGATGACAGTCAACTCGCGTTGTCAGAGGACCGCGGGGGGAAGGGCTCTCTAACCCTTTGGACGCGCCCGCGTGGATGATCCCATGTGCACGCGGCGACTGACAAATCTGCAAGTACTCTGCCGTTTGTTCTTATTAGTCTCATTAATATGTGGATTCAAATCGCTTCAAAGCAACCTTCTGCTTTAAGGCCTCAGTGGGGGGGCAGACAGCTACTAAGACCCCATGATAAACGCCAAATGACCCCCTGGCCCCCTCCAGACAGGGGGAAGCCCTGTTCCCCACGGGGCTCCTCCTCCTCCATTAGCTAATTTCTGATCAGCTGCCTCCTCCGTCATCTTTAATTCATATGTCTTCCTGCGCAGATGCTGGAGGGTTGCTTTTAATCATCCGATTTGTGCCCTCGGTCAAGCAGCCTGCCCTCGGCCCACCCTTCATCCAATGCTCCAAACAAAGACCAGCCTGACCTATTCTGTGTAATTTCCAGGCGTCGCTAATGTGATATGCTACGAGTCTTAATGCAGTAGTATCTGGATTTCGTTCCGTGATTGAGCTCCAAAGTGAATTTGCTCATCGATCCAATACGCTTTCCAAAATGAAATGACTTAAAATGCCATGAATCTGTTCCAGCCTTCCTAAAAGCACCAGAATTATTTTGAAATAATAAAACTCTCAACCCATCTGGAAGATTTGGGACCCACAAGACCTGGAAGGACCTTTAGCCCCGATTCCCATCCCAGTCAAACTCAGCCCTACTTGTTTAATCTCACCTCTGTGTGTGTGTTGCACTCACTCAGCATTTGCGCAGATTTGAGTGAAATCCTTGAATTTGGCCCGAGTTCCTGCTTGTGGAACAAGCGACAAAACCCCGCATTGTTTTCAAAAGTTGTTAAGATATAGTCTGCAGGGCAATCTGCACAAAAACTATTTGTCATGATCACCAAAATTTGAAAACGTGAATGAAATGTGTTGTCAAAGCATTTAAAGGAAAAAAAAATGTGAATAAGCTTGTTTTGGCCTTGCTGCTCGAGTCACATGTCAGAATGGCCTAAAGATAGGAATCTTCTCCTGCCATCTTGTGAATGTGTTGCTCTTTGGGGAATCGTCAATCGGCTTTCTAATGGACCCTCGCGCGAGAACCAATTTTCCTGTCTGAAGTCAGGCAACTCATCCCCATTTGTCTCGTGGATGCGGCCCATTGAGAATCGTCACAGCGGCTTTTTAATGGACACTCAGGGCAAGAAACAATTTGCTGTTTTGACCCTTTTAGAAGCGGGTCTAATGTCGTCGAGACTGCCGTGCACTCGTCCTCTTCCTAGGGGTCACTTTCATGACCCCTTTGGATCTCTATTGTTATGATAATACTGCCGTGTGTCATTATTTGAGGTGTAAATTGGGGGTCTGGGGCGGGGTGGGGGGGCGAGGGACTGCCTACTCCTTCGTCGCTGCTGTGGAGTCAACATCTAACTCGGATCCATCGTCCTATGGGCACAGCTGTCCGATGTCTTGAATTCACTTCAAATGTGGTTGACACAAATGATCATGCCAAAAAGATAAAGAAGAGACACAAAATGGCCGCCTTTTCAGCCAAACACGCCAAACCGCACGTTTCTTCTCCTTTTTAGTTGAAAACATTGCACGGAAATGGCACCCGCCATCAGGCGAGTCGCATCTCTATCCCGTCGTGTTCACTCGGTCCTGTTTGAAGCAAGCGACACTCATCAGCTTGTGTTTCCCGGTCGAGTCGCTTTGATTAGCTTTCTTTCTTTGGTCATGACTTCTGATCCGATCATTCGATACCGCCCGCGCTCGTGTTCGCAGCACTTTGCCCTGTGTAAGCACTAAAATATTTAAGGCTCCTTCGTTCGCGCTCTCCTGATCGCTTGTTATCGCGGAAGCCGAAGAAACGAAAGCCTTTTGTCCGTGAAATCGCATCATTTCGGGTTCTGGCTACTTGGATCACTCTTGTCAACTGGTTCTGTCCCAGCAGTGCTCTCTGCCTGCACCGTGACATGCAGTATGAGGAATTTAAAACTGCAAAAAGTGCTTGCAACATCTGTTCACCCGAAGCAAAGACTTTGGACCCACACCCCATTCGAATGTTATGATGAGTGAGCAAGAAGTGGTCAGCTTTGTTGAAGGCGGGACGCTCAGCTGGGCCACACTGCGCGATTTTAAATTGTAGGGATTTGGGGGGTGGGGGGGGTTACATGTGCCCATTGTGTCCCAGCTGGTCTTTATTTGGGAAATTTCCACCTGGTTAACTTCCGAGCATCTCCGTCAGTCAGAGGCGGCCGCCTTTGTCCCGACTTAGCGACAAGACTCTTTATGAAGGCAGCGACAAGGGGGGGAGGAGTTTCGAAAGAGCCATCTGTTGCCGAAACGGCGTCACACTGTTTTTTTATCACAAACTGATCGCCTGGAAAGAAAGAAAAGCATCCGGGCGAATCCATCTCGAGCTACACGGTCACTCCTGAAGTCCAGTGCACAGACTTCCTTTAACGCATCAAGAGGCGACTGCCAATTATTGTCTATCGTTTGAACAGTATTTAAAACCAATCAAGAATCGTTTTTCAGAAGAGTCTTCAAGTCTTCGCTTTTAGAAATGTGTTTTCAGGCCCTTTGGTACTTTCTCATCCAGTTTGGTCCTCACAAAGCCGTCCAAAGCCAGCATTCAGTTCAGCTCTCCGCGGTACGGTTCCGTCCAGGTGAACCGTGTCCTGGTCTCGGCTGTCGTGTGATGTCATACCCCAGCAGTAGGACAACGTAGTATTCAGCAGTTAATGAAAAAAGAAAAAAAAAGTGTTGTTGGGCAGTACTGAAAAATGCGAGAGTTCAAGTTGGATATTTTGCCAACGATGCAATAAAATGCGTTAAGAGCTGAATCGCACCATAGCAGTTGATGGAAATCGGAACTGGCCCCTACCAAACTCAAGATTGGAATCGAAAGTAACTTTTACTGGGTTTCCAATGTTCAGAGTAAAAAAAAAAAAAAAGAAAAAAAAATCAAATGTGGCTCTTGAGTGAGAGAAGTTTTGGGAAAACCTGCCAGAGTTTTCTTCTCCGTCCCCCAATGGTGATTTACCGTAATCCAGCATCATCAGAGTCATGTCAAAACAAAAACCCGATCGTCAATTATTAATGACCAACGGTCACGTCAAGCTGCATCGTTTGCTGGACTTCCGCTGACTGCACCTTTTTTGGAAGAGAGCCCGCCCCAAAATGCCTTGGGGAACATGTTTTTCTATCCACAGCAACATCCAACAAAAGAAAAACATCCAACATTTGAATGACCGCATGACTCTTTGATTTCCACTTACGTAAGAGCACCTGATTGTCTGTGCAGTAATTCCGAATAATCCGCACCTGAGCGTGAAGCGGCTTCCCCAAAAAATGCCGAGCCGGTACCAGGCAGAGAGGCGCACGCGTAGTCCCCCCCACGATCAAACTATGCTAATGCATCGGCACGTGCTATACTTATTGTAATCGTTGTTTCCGCCCTTTTTGCACACATTCGGGAATGCGACACAAGAGCCCCCTTTTCGCTGAGCTGCCTTAGCTGACGGAAGGGCGCCGGAAGTCACTTTGGCGATCGCTAAGCAATCGAGACCGACTACTTCTGGAGAGTACATTTAGAGTCTCAAACCAATTTCTCTTGGTGTGTGTTTTAAAAAGGCCGATGTCACATGTTTCGCCCCGTTGCGCGCACGCGGCCGCTCCTTTTAAATAGTTAATGAGGATTGATGTCTAAAAGTGGCGACCTTGTCCCGCATTAGGTTTCCAAGTGGAATTCAGGCATATTGATCCGCTCGGTTTTATGCTCTGTTGAACACAATTCCCTTTTTTGTTCTGTGTTTCCTTTTTGAGTCGATGAACAGTCTGCATTGGCTCAAAAAGGTGAGCGGAGAGCAATGAGGAAGAATCACCCAGATTTCTTTTTTTCCCCCTCACACGGTCCTCCGATGAATTGGGCTAAATTGCACATTTGTTTACGACGCTGACGAATAGCAATGCGGTCATTTCTCCAGCATTGTCTTCCAGTCATTCAAACATGCTTGCCAAGTCTATAAATGCATCTTCCTTTGCTGCGAGGAAATGACAGGCATACCTCAGGATTCCTGTTGTTGCGCTCGGTGATTGCATTGTTAATTCATACGTCTGCAACGGCCAGGAAGTTAACGTTGATAAAGTAGACTACAGTCTCACTGTCAATTGTCTAGAATCCAATCTGAAACCGTGTTCAAGATTTTTATTTATTTTTTTTTTTTAACCCCCCACCTATGTGGGAGTTGTTGATAATTACAAATGCCAAGTTAGCCTGAAATGATGAATGGAATGGCCCGGAAAAATGAAGTTACCCAAACAGTTGATGCAAAATGAGAGTTATTACCCAGCCAGTGTTTTTTACAGTGAGCCTTGATTTAGGATGCTTAACGGTGTGGTGTTTGATGTCGGTGTCGCAGGGCTCCCGTGTGTGGCTGAGGCATCAGGAACAACTCCTGCCCTCCACCGTCAGCTCCGGCGATGACACTTCGCTGGTCCTCACCACTGACTATGGAAAGGTAAGAGGACACTCATCTCTGGTCATTGGATCGGTTTATGCTCTCATCAGTCTGCATGTTGACAAATGATTTTTTTTTTCTTTCAAAATGATATTTAAAAAGTCTGTTTGGGGGAGGCAGACTATTTTCATAGCTTTCCGCTCCGACACAAAATGTTACTGTACTGTACAGTGAAAGACCCAAATGTTCAACCAAACCATAGAATTGTGTCCAACAAAAGTCTGCTAGCTTAATGCTAGCCTGTAAAGTGAAACAATGACAAGCTAGCAGAAATAATCATCCATGTTCCTAACCCAACCGCGATCAGTGAAATTCTGGGATACAGAGACCATTTTCACCGCTTTGCCCCTCCGACACACTTTAACACACTTGAAGTTATTCCTTTGCCACTGTTCTCACTCTTCGCTTGTCCTCTTTTGAAACCACAGAGAACAAAATGTCGACCTGTCTAGTGAAACACCCAAATGTCCAAACCAAACTGTAGAATTGTGCCCAACAAAAGTCTGCTAGCTTAATACTAACTTGTAATGTGACAAGCTAACAGGAACAATCATCCATGTTCCTGTCATGATAAGCAACTGCTATGTAAAAACATGGAGCAGCGACACATACAAACGATATAAAGATTCCCGTCGACAGATATGAGCAGGGGTTGCTGTTGTGTCAAACCGACAGAATGTGACAATCTATCTGTACCCAGCGTACAGTATAACGTTCAACTCATCTTGGCACTCAGTGGGAACAGGTGGATGCCAATGAACGCATAGCTAACGTATAACTGGGTCATGTGTCCTAAGAAGCGCCGTAAATTCCTGTATAGATTTGTACTACATTGAAAAGGTGACTCAACACTTCATCTTGAGTTTCACGTTGCGCATTTAAATCTATTAGTCGACGGACAAAACGAATGAGATCCTTAACTCGCGTTGACCCACTGAACGCAAGCTAACGCCTCCCGTCGCGAGCATGTATTTCGGAAAGTGGGTGTGCATGTAGGAAGTTCACCTACGCGTGTTTCGTGTGCGGCTGCCCTGCAAACGACGCCTTTTGTGAGCCTGTGGAACGTCTGTGTCTGGAGGAAATCCTGCACCCCGCGGTTGGACGTGGAGAGAGTGAAGTGATGATAGACGTGTGAAAAATAGCTTTGAATTGTGTGTGTTCTCTCGCTTGTCTCGTCTTTGTTGTTCGGTGACCTACAGGTTTTTGGGCAGCGATGTAGGAAGTAACTCAACAGGTATCAAGGACTATTTGTGTCCACAGGATCAAGACGTTTAGCGTCATTTCCACATCCAGTTCTTACAGCAGATTTCAAAGAGAATATTCAGTGTGCTTTGGAGCAAAATGGAGGAACGCCAAACTGCCCCTGCCACGATACACAGGAGCGTACATCCATTTTTATTTATTTATTTTTGTTGGTGAACTAAACGGGCCGAAAAACTCTGTTAGCGGGCAATTTGTATTTCAAGGCGCCCGTGTCTTATGCAGATTATTTGTCTCAAGCTGAGACTGAGAAGATATTTTGCTCCATTAGCCGGAAAATTACATTTTCCATCGTCCATTTGTGTCATCTGAGTGAGCAGACTCACTAAATTGAATTTACTTGCTCTTGTTTCCATTAATTCCCCCAAAGCACAAAGCTTGAAGTTTTCAGATTCTTAGTTGGGATCGGCGCCCGCGTCTTGTAACCCTGATCCGGATACGCGATACAGAAAAATGGATGGACGGGTAATTTTCCTATTTGTGTATGACATACTAAAAATATCACGTAGAACAACAGGAACGTGATAACCGGCTTTTGATTTCAACGTCTCGTTTGAGCTCATTACATGTCTGTCCGAGGTTCTGTTTTGGGGCCCCGCCATTTTTACACACAGGTGCCTTGTCAGTCAGAGCTTGTTTTGGTAAATGTATCCTGGCAGCGCCCCCCCCACCTCCCGCCCTCAGGGCGGTGATATACCATTACCAGGCGGTCGACTGGTGCTGCTCGGTGCCTAAAGTGCTCATCTTGCAAGGGGGGCGGGGGGGCTTTAACAGCCTGACTTGGCTGCTGTCACATTAAGCAGCACATCAGCATTTGTCATTGTCTCAGACCTGAACGAAAGGGATCAGGTGAGAGTACACAAAAAAAAAAAAAAAAAAAAGCCAGGAGGTCGTGTGCCGTGTGTTTGTGTGTGACCGTGTGTGTCCATCTGTGTGTGTGTGTGTGTGTGTGTGTTTTTTAATGTGGGCAGATGGCACCAGCTGGATTAACAGTGTGTCTGTTATTTTGAGCAGGGCGCACACAAAGAGAACGCAGGAAGTGGTACTGTCAACTAACAGGAAAGTTAGAACCGTTTTAGACAAAAGTAGTTTCTGTAGAATTTTGGATGACATTTTTTTTTCTTCGATGAAGAACATGGATTTGTTCTTGGAACATCCACGTTATTAAAAAGGAGAAACATTTTTTCAGTTCCTACTAATGGCGTGCTGAAAGGCCAAAATGGCAACCAATGGCGAATATAGTTGAATTTCTGGCAAGTAACGGCATCAAATTTACGAGGATGATGATAATGATGATGATGAATCTTATTTTATTAATGTACCACAGAGAAGAACAAAATAGGGCCAAAACATTTGGCACGGTCGTATTTTGTGCTCGCATTGTTATTACAAAGCAAATGTTATTACTTTCTGTTTTACACACTGCAAAATTGTTGAGTGCAATTTTTATTATGAAAAATAAAATAAGATAAAATATCTAATGGCACCACTATAATACTAAAAAAAAGATAATGTCATACTTAAGTGTTGCTTAACTGTTTTGTCCATCATTAAGTATTTATTTATTTATTTATTTTAATCAGGAATGCTTTAGGTAAAATTTTGACAAGTGTAAAAGAAGTGATTATTTTTTTAAAAATTCTAATCGTGACAAAACATTGGACGTAGGCAGAGTGAGATTACTGCCTGGGAGGCGAGTCCCTTCCCACAAATGTTCTCACTTTCCTCAGTACGTTCCAAAAGTGGAATTAACTTCCTTGCCAAAATGTGCACAGAAAATCTCCAAAAAACGTGATCAAATGACACTGAAATTTCTTCTCGGTCCAGTTGATCCCCAATGTCTTTACATTGCCTCTGTACTGTATTCCGCATATAGTTTTTTCCTTGACTTCAAGAAGTCAAGGAAAGTGTTGTGGTGCCAACATTCAGTCTCATCCAGATGTTAAAAATAGGTCACTCCATGGCAGCTCGTTTTTACAAGTCAATGGAGCCTTTCTGTAAGATAGGAATGCACTCTCGCGCAATCATTCTTGCAAGCATCCGTGATGGATCGATGATATATGTCAGCTAGATTTGGATCATGCTCTCAAACTTGAGTTGGTATAAAATCAAAAGATGCGTGGCGCCCAACATCTTTTTTACAGTTTCGGCACCCAATGCGTCACACGAAACACATTTGTCAAAAAGCATCACAAGAGGCGATGATTTTTGAATGCCCGCTGTGCACGACCGGTGAGGGTGACCCCCCCACCTCTTTTTCTGAATATTCATGTAGCGCAGCCTGGCTGAACAAAGCGGCCGAGGCAGGGTGTGGTTTCGCTGAGCAGCAAACAAAAGAAGACCTTCCTATGGGAAGCCATGTGAGCATTTATTCCATACCCTTCATATTCGGTTTAAGGTCATTGCAGTCGGACGTTCTTTGTTCTTGCAAGTAAGAGAAGTCAAGCACACAAGTTGAATTACTAGGGCAAGGGTGTCAAACTCATTTTTGTCACAGTCCAGATTTTAGTTACAGCTTCCCTTGGAGTCAAGAATAACGGTTTATTTATCTGTTGTTTAAGTTACTGTAATGACGGGTTTGTTAACAAGAAAATAGGATCACTCTTATTTATTACAAATGAGAATTTGAAATTGGGGTCAAGATTTTATCAAGCATCGTGAAAGTTGTCATCTTTGATTTGCTTTCGCGGGCCACATAAAATGACGTGGCGGGCCAGATCTGGCCCCCGGGCCTTGAGTTTGACACTGGTGTAGTAGGGTATATTATTAGAATGACTGTGTCATGCGTTTCAAGTACCAGTTGAGGTTTTTGCACACCAGTAGGACAATTTTGGCATACTTGACACCATGCATACTACCACCTGCACTCTCCGTTGCAGTTTATGAAAGCTCTCCGCATTACTTTGGGGCGATATTCTTTTCAATTCTCTTCCTCAAACGACTGGAACACTGTGGAAAAATAATAAAACGTACGTCATCCCTTCCCATATCATTGTTTTAAGAAGAACCTTATATTCACATGATTACGTTATGAAACGAACCTAGAGCCGTCCGTCACTGTCTGTAGGCATAAAAAGCAGGATTGAATAGGACTTGACACTAGTTTTTACTGAAGATTAAAAACTAGGCTGAGATGAAATACTTCCATTCTTTAACCCAATTTGCACAGTATCAAACAAAAATGTGCCACCATCTAGTGGTTGACAGTGGGATTACATCTAAAGTAAATATCGAATAAATGCTCAAACAACTCTCCATCAAGCCGTATGAGCCTTGGTCGGCATTGAGTCTTCCTCTAATCACATGCCACATGTGTGTGTTTGATCATCATGACACCACTCATCTTGTCAACACTAATGAGGTTGCGAACTGGAGTCAAACCGAGCTAATCATCTAAGAGGGTCTACCGAGGCTCCGAAGGCAGTGAATTATTGTCCAGGAATGACCCGGCACCAAAGCAGAAACGGAGGACGGTGAAACCTTAACTCTCGCTTGCTTTTCTGCGGCCGTCTTTGAAGAGTTTAGCTGCGGAAAAACTCCCCGAGGCCTGCGCTGTGAAATCCAAACGTGACATTGTTCACCGGCGATCCACAACAAAAGTCGCTTGAAGTGAAAAGAGACATCAAGGCAAAACGATGGAGTCGATACGATCTATCGGTAAACGGCTACGACCGGACATTCCTCACTTGGTTCATATATTTGATTTATTTTGACAGTGAAACCTGATCACATCCTCTCACAGTTGCTTGCTTGATTTATTTTTGCAACTTTTTTTTTTTTTTGCTCCCGCCGTGCAAAACGTGAGAATGTAAAGAATTTCAGTGCCTGTGAACTGGAGGGAAGTGGCTGATTCCTTCTTGAAGAGTCCATTTTCCAGGCACTGATAATAGCATCAGTCACACAAAGTAAGTGATCTCACTGAATACTCAGTGACTCATGTGGTACAAGCTCTTACACTGACTTGTCAGTTTCAAAACGGGGGGGGGATATTGACACTCAGCTGCCTGTAAATCTGCTGGGTGGATGACATCACCACACTTCCTTTCCCCCTTGAGGTCGTTGTCCTCAAAATCGTAACCCTCTCAGATGACCGTTTTGTTCTTGTGCTTTTGCCTTCGCACACGCCCGTTCTTCACTATCATTCTGCATAGAATAACTCAATGCCAATGCCAAAGTGATTCCAAAAAAATTCCTTCAAAAAAAGCCCAAAGTGTGTTGCTTGAAGTTGTTTGCTGACAGTCCGAGTCAACGTTCCCTGTCAAATGAAACATAAAACAAAGATAAGTGCATGTGTTGTTCGTACATTATCAAACTCATTTTTGTCACAGTCCAGATTTTAGTTACAGCTTCCCTTGGAGTCAAGAATAACGGTTTATTTATCTGTTGTTTAAGTTACTGTAATGACGGGTTTGTTAACAAGAAAATAGGATCACTCTTATTTATTACAAATGAGAATTTGAAATTGGGGTCAAGATTTTATCAAGCATCGTGAAAGTTGTCATCTTTGATTTGCTTTCGCGGGCCACATAAAATGACGTGGCGGGCCAGATCTGGCCCCCGGGCCTTGAGTTTGACACTGGTGTAGTAGGGTATATTATTAGAATGACTGTGTCATGCGTTTCAAGTACCAGTTGAGGTTTTTGCACACCAGTAGGACAATTTTGGCATACTTGACACCATGCATACTACCACCTGCACTCTCCGTTGCAGTTTATGAAAGCTCTCCGCATTACTTTGGGGCGATATTCTTTTCAATTCTCTTCCTCAAACGACTGGAACACTGTGGAAAAATAATAAAACGTACGTCATCCCTTCCCATATCATTGTTTTAAGAAGAACCTTATATTCACATGATTACGTTATGAAACGAACCTAGAGCCGTCCGTCACTGTCTGTAGGCATAAAAAGCAGGATTGAATAGGACTTGACACTAGTTTTTACTGAAGATTAAAAACTAGGCTGAGATGAAATACTTCCATTCTTTAACCCAATTTGCACAGTATCAAACAAAAATGTGCCACCATCTAGTGGTTGACAGTGGGATTACATCTAAAGTAAATATCGAATAAATGCTCAAACAACTCTCCATCAAGCCGTATGAGCCTTGGTCGGCATTGAGTCTTCCTCTAATCACATGCCACATGTGTGTGTTTGATCATCATGACACCACTCATCTTGTCAACACTAATGAGGTTGCGAACTGGAGTCAAACCGAGCTAATCATCTAAGAGGGTCTACCGAGGCTCCGAAGGCAGTGAATTATTGTCCAGGAATGACCCGGCACCAAAGCAGAAACGGAGGACGGTGAAACCTTAACTCTCGCTTGCTTTTCTGCGGCCGTCTTTGAAGAGTTTAGCTGCGGAAAAACTCCCCGAGGCCTGCGCTGTGAAATCCAAACGTGACATTGTTCACCGGCGATCCACAACAAAAGTCGCTTGAAGTGAAAAGAGACATCAAGGCAAAACGATGGAGTCGATACGATCTATCGGTAAACGGCTACGACCGGACATTCCTCACTTGGTTCATATATTTGATTTATTTTGACAGTGAAACCTGATCACATCCTCTCACAGTTGCTTGCTTGATTTATTTTTGCAACTTTTTTTTTTTTTTGCTCCCGCCGTGCAAAACGTGAGAATGTAAAGAATTTCAGTGCCTGTGAACTGGAGGGAAGTGGCTGATTCCTTCTTGAAGAGTCCATTTTCCAGGCACTGATAATAGCATCAGTCACACAAAGTAAGTGATCTCACTGAATACTCAGTGACTCATGTGGTACAAGCTCTTACACTGACTTGTCAGTTTCAAAACGGGGGGGGGGGGATATTGACACTCAGCTGCCTGTAAATCTGCTGGGTGGATGACATCACCACACTTCCTTTCCCCCTTGAGGTCGTTGTCCTCAAAATCGTAACCCTCTCAGATGACCGTTTTGTTCTTGTGCTTTTGCCTTCGCACACGCCCGTTCTTCACTATCATTCTGCATAGAATAACTCAATGCCAATGCCAAAGTGATTCCAAAAAAATTCCTTCAAAAAAAGCCCAAAGTGTGTTGCTTGAAGTTGTTTGCTGACAGTCCGAGTCAACGTTCCCTGTCAAATGAAACATAAAACAAAGATAAGTGCATGTGTTGTTCGTACATTATATGCGAACTTAGCATGAATACACGTCACAAAAAAATCATCGAGAGAGGCTCACGGAGCTACAGCAACAATGTCGCCGTAGTTATATAACACTACGGATATTTTAACACAAATGGTGCAGCAAATTGATATGTCAACAGACATTAAAATAACACCCCCCCCCCCACCAAACATGTATTCTTTATCCTTTGCATTAATATTTTTTGCATTAAAAAAAAAAAAAAAAAAAAGACTAATATAGCTGCGGTTTACTGAGAAGTCTTCTTCTAATTTCATATATGTATTCTACTGCCCCCTAATGGCCATGACGCATATTATTTTGAGCAATTTTAGCGCTGTAGGTGTTTCGAAAGTAAAATGCTGGTCGGTGGTATTTTTCTGAGGTTACAGCAATTTTTGGTGGTGTTTCAGGAAGGTGTGGAACGCGTTATTGGAGGCTACAAATTTCTCCATCGATTAAATCGATGTTCAGCACATCAACAAAGCAGGGCAGCTTCATTTCTTATTCAAGGCTGCCATGACCAATTTGGTATCTCAGTTTATTTCCTTCCCCCCAAAGAACCACCAAGAAGCTGATATGCAATCAGTCAAGCACAGCAGATTTTTGGAGCCTCCAGGTAGCGCGGTGTCTATTTGTGATGACTCGGCAGTCTTCTAATCTAAAGCCAAGCGGTCTGCTCCCTGCTGGGATGTAACCCGAATAGGCTCGGAGGACCTGCTGGTAATGCCTTGGGGAGGTGGGGGGGTGGGGGAACCCCTACAACCGCCCACTTCGCCCCTTACCTATCATACCTTCTTGTCCATTACACTTTCATTTGCCCAAAACATATTAGACACAATTTGATATTCTGCGGTGGAATCTTTGAGTTTGCTTGTTCTCCCTGTGTTTTTTTTTTCTTTTTTTTTTTTGTTCCTGGTAGTCGTTTAACGAATAAATGCAGACACCATGTCCAGCTAGATCTCCATTCACCATCTGGAATGCGGCGATGTGCCTGTCTGATCGCAGGTGATCTACCTGCCCAAGGCGGAGCTCAGCAAGGATACGGCGTACCCGATGCACCACAGCAGCGTCCGCGGAGTGGAGGACATGTCCACGCTGGCAGAGCTGCACGAAGCCGCCATCATGCACAACCTCTTTCTGCGCTACCAGAGAGACAACATCTATGTAAGGAACCGTGTTGGAACACGTACGGCGAGGCCCCTTTGTGGGTTCCCTGGTGTCGTCTAGACGTAGCGGCGGGCCCTGCATTTGGCGCCTCCGCCTTCACTGGAGATTTACTTGAACTAATCCCGCCATTGTCACCTTGCGCGGGTACCGAGACCATCACAATTATTCCAAAACACAATCTAACAGCATGCATGTCGCTTCCATGCTACAACGGGAATACACATTTGCAGTTTCTATTTAGGTATCCTTTCATTATTAGCGTCTATTAATAATGCAGTGCACTTCAAGGCAAAGCTAATGGTTCTCTGCTTCAGTTTCTGCACGTCAAAATAGACTTTGAGTTGAATACGGTCAACTGTATTGTGAGCCTTGCTTCCTGTATGTCGTTTTTGAAGACAATAATGCACAACAAACTGTATGCTTTGTGTGCAATATCCTGGAATGTTGACCTACAAATCCAATCTGCCAGGTACTTTACCCGAAAGCGCAAAATATTACCAGCTTTAGTGAATGAACTTAAAGTAGGCCATGGAATCCACCCTCAATCGCATAATCCGCTGTCATAAAATCCAGTATGAGAGCTGCAAAAAAAAAAAATAAAAATAAATCTGATATCAAGGAAGTTTGGATTGTCACTGTCAGAGAGGTATTCATTTGACAAGGTGTTTATTACAGTGAACCCCCGTTTATCGTAGGGAGTATGCTTTCTCCTCACTCTCAGCCACTTCCTCCTTGACAATCGCATCATGTCTTTGCGGTTCAATAAAAATATGTACATTACAGGCAACAGTAATTGTTTAATTTTACAAGAATGTTTTTGTTTATTTAATTATTTTGGGGTAGAGGGGGGTATGTTTAAATGTCATTATTTTTAGTTGGTTTTAAAAATTCTATTTTCAAAGGGCTAATATCAGCCAATTGATCGGTCAGGCCCCATAAAATAAATGTTTTCTTCCAGAAGTTGTTGTTTCTTCCTCATTGCTTTTGTCTCCTCTCTGTCTTTTTATTCCCCCCCCCCCCCTCCAACTCCCCCTCTCCCTTTACAGACCAACATAGGTTCAATCCTGGCAGCTGTAAATCCCTACAAGCAGATTGCAGGACTGTATGACGGCGCCTCAGTGGATTTATACAGCAAGCACCAGATGGGGGAGCTGCCCCCTCATATATTTGCCATCGCCAACGAGTGCTACCGCTGCCTTTGGAAGAGACACGACAGCCAGTGTGTGCTCATTAGGTAATGACTGAGTGACCGGCGCTGCGTATTCATGAACTACTCCACTCTGAGCTAAGTGTTGCTCATGTGTCCCGACTCTGAACGTTGTCAGCGGGGAGAGCGGTGCCGGGAAGACGGAGAGCACCAAGTTGCTGCTCAAGTTCCTTTCAGTGATGAGCCAGAACTCGGCCGGTACACCTCCATCGGAGAGGACCACCCGGGTGGAGCAGGCGCTCATCCAAAGCAGGTACAAATGTTTTAGAATGAAGTGGAAATGGCAACGACAAACTGCTGAAATGTTGCAAGCATTCTTTGCTAGCAGTCCCCCCTTTTAAAATGAATGGAATAGTATTATTTGAAGACGCCGTTTTTAATGGCCTCTGATTTCAAAGCATATATTTATTTAGGTTCTGTTATAATGTCCTCCCCCGAAGGAAACTTTCACGAAGCGACAAAAATGAGTTTGACAAACCTGCTGTAAGCAGTTTGGAAAAGACTGCAAATTGGAAGCTTTGCACGGGAATTCATGGTAGTTAATCATCATTTAGCCTAATTTAATGGCACCTCTCCACTATTGGTTCCAGGTTTGCAGTCCCTGCTATTTTGCTGATTTATTTATTTTTTTTGGTACAATTTCAACTGTTTTGTTTTGGCCATGTTAATTTGGGATGAATTTAATTCCAACGTTGGCCATAAGATGGAGGACCACTCTTGTTTTGCAATGTAAACTTGAATGAAGGAGACTGAAAGCAGCAAGTAGGGCAACCCAACAGTATTTCAAGATCTCCCTAGTTAGTGCTGAAAGTAATTCTGTGTGGGATCATCTGTAATCCTGCTTTTTACGCCAACAGAAGACATCGGCTGCAGTTTAAAAATTTTTAATGAACCTCTTTAGGCATAATTTTTGCATATCTGTTGCTGTTGCTGTTTCACAATAATTTTAAAGTGGGTTCCAAGAATTTAAGACCCCCAAAAAGTGCCCTTACTGCTCTAAAAACATGCCTAGGGAGCCTTTAAATGGGTGCTGTGGTTTGTCCCATCAGTCCCATCATGGAGGCGTTTGGGAATGCAAAGACGGTGTACAACAACAACTCCAGTCGCTTTGGAAAATTCATCCAGCTCCACTTCTCCCAGAGCGGAAACATCCAGGGAGGCTGCATCATCGATTGTATCCTCCCACAGTATCATATTATACATCTATAGTTTGAATACAAACTCATAATGATTTTGAAAAGAAATCAATTGCTTATGAATCTGTATTAGCTGGTTACATACAACCCTTAAGGTGTCTTTTTCATCGACGTGTTTTTCTTCCTGACTTTCATCCATTAGATTTGCTGGAAAAGGTAGGCCCGTGTTGAAAGCTTCCTCCTGCAGCAACCAGGAATCCAGGAACTCACATATCTGATAAGAACATGTGATTAAATCCTCGTCATCTGCTCTCACTTCCTAAGAACCGAGTGGTGCGTCAAAATCCGGGAGAGCGAAACTACCACATCTTTTACGCGCTGTTAGCAGGGGCCGACAAAGATCACAGAGGTTGGAGCTTTTGCACTTTGAAAGGAGCCTGTTAAATGAGAACATGGTGGAAATTTAAAGGAAGGAAACAGTCCTATTTTAAAGACAGAAAATACGTATTTTGCTATGTACTAAACGTATCTGAATATTATGAGTTGCACTTTTTGAGCTGAGCACGTAAAATGTTTCTTCTACGTTGTAATATATTTCCAGTAGATGTGCTGGAATTTCTGTGTTGTCTGGTGAAGTGTTCTGTTTGAAATCAACAAAGAGTCCATTTGTATGTCTTTTGTCGCAGACATGTACTTGCTGTCCGAGGGTCCTGAGTCCTACCACTACCTCAGCCAGTCAGGCTGCTTGCAGGACAGCAGCCTGGATGACAAGCAGCTTTATGACAGCGTCATGGTCAGTATCTCACCACTTGGGGGCACTACAACCTTTGGTTACTTGACTAGGCAAAGTTTGATATTAAAAAATACACAGATGAACCAATTCAGGTTAAAAAAAAAAAAAAATCAGTAGCAGAACCATATTTAATGATTCAGTCTAATTCATTAACCAATTATATTATGTACTACATTTCATTTTTTAAAAAAAAATCAATGACAAATTTAATAATTTTTCGTAAATAATTTAGCCAATCACTTCATGAGATAAAGATAAGATAAGAAAACCTTGATTTGTCTCACAATGGAGTAATTCAGAATTTACAGCAGCAACATTTTGAAAGGAAGAAAGTAGAAAAACAAAAAGTATTTGCATGCACAAAAATATATATTTTTAAAAATGATGTATACTGTACATGCATTTTAATTTTCAAATTTTAGAGGGGGGATGGTTATGTCAATCTTACAAATATTACAGAACTCAAAATTATTCCAAAGCTCGACTTTTATATTCTCCCCTACTTTGGACTGCCTATTAGAAGCTCCTCCCCTGACCTCAACATAGTTCCTTTGCACTGAGATGCCACATGAGTGTGCCAAAGCACTCCTTTTGTATTAGACAGGGCTTTGTCCCCATCTTGTGGCAAGCACAAAATGTGGACCTGGCATGCTTTTCAGTGAAAACCTGGTTAGGATAAAAGGTGTCTGATATTCTGCAACACTTTTGATTGTATCGAAGCATGTAATGGCCCTTGCGTATTGGGACACAGGCAGCGCTGCAGGTGATGGAGTTCAGCGAGGAGGAGATCCGAGATGTATTCAAGCTGCTGTCCGCCGTCCTCCAGATGGGAAACATTGAATTTATGACAGCGGGCGGAGCTCAAATCACGTCCAAAGGAGGTAAGAGGGGAAACAGTAAGAGTGCTCACAAGGCGCCAAATGAGATAAGCTGTATCCACATCGAGTAAACGATGGTATCCCATTGTCCAAAAATGTGAAAGATGCGTGCTATTCATGGGACTTGATGGTATTAAAGACATTTTCAGTGAATAACAGGGGATAGGTTTCCTAAAATGGTTCAAGTCTGGCACAAAAGGCCAGCAAAGAGCCCAGAGGGTTCAGGAATTTAATTTCACAACTTGATACCAGTCATTTCGATTCATCTGCCTCCTGCTCCTGAGTTTGATTGACATGGCAGCAACAGTCCCGAACAGGCTGAAACATGAGCGCCATTCCCTTTTGTTCCCTGTCCAACCTCTTTTCCAAACATCCAGGTTACCAACTGCTTAAATAGGTACGCAGTCTTCATCCCCCCCAAAAAACTTCTCTGCTAATAATAACATTCACAGATTCGCTTTGGTCACGCCCAACGTTTGCTCGGCAGAATTGGTCGGGCTCAAGTATACCTCGATAAGTGGGTGACCTGGTTGACTCGATTGGCCACAGAGCGAATCAAACAAGGCAAGGCACCACACTGTTTTTTTTTTTTTTTTAAAGTATTAATATATGTACTGTATCTGTGCGTCTGTGCTTTCAGTGGTCAGTAACGTGAGTGAGCTGCTTGGGTTGGACTCCTTCCAGCTGTCTGAGGTGTTGACCCAGCGCTCCATGATCCTCCGCGGAGAGGAGATCTGCTCTCCGCTCACTGTGGAGCAGGTAAAAACATAGAAACACAGATCGCCACCGAAACATTCCCCACCTCGCCGCCCATATTTGCCTGTGCTCGATCGTCCACATTATTCACATGTCGCTTCTGTCTCGACTTCAGGTTACAGACCGACTTACGCAACTAAACTGTTGGGCGGTGTGTGGGGTTCACCAACTATTTCGCAGGTTAAAAAAAAAAAAAAAAAGGTTCTCCAGTTATAATTCCAATTCCATAGTTGTTTTGGGTGTAATCCCGCTTTCGGCCACTAGATGACAGCACACTTATGTGTTTAACTATAATTGTGAAGAAGAAGAGTGCAAGAGAAGCGCAAAGCAAATTATTCATACAGACGTAGCGGTTTATAAAAAGTATTTCTAGATCTGCCTAATTTTTGCTGAAGAGTTTAGAAAGATGAAATCCTCTTCCATCCTGTTTTATACACCTACAGAATGCAATGGCTGTAAGTTTATTTTAAAATGTACCTCTTTGGGTATGATTATTGATGTACAGCATGTTGTGAGATGAGGATTTCATTTTGCCAATTTTGAAAAAAAAATAGATTTCTTTACTGTAAGCACTTGCGCTCTCGGAATATCGTTTTTAAAATTTGGTGGTATTATGTAAGAGTGGGTTAAATAACGATAAAAGCAAGACAAGTGCATAAATGCTATAAAATCATGTCTGTGGAGGGTATTTCTTGATCACGGATTTCACATTTCACTGGGGTGGTTTAGATCATGACCTTCGCGACTGAGGGATTTTACTGTATCATGTGTCACTGTGGTAGATATAGGAGCACACATGAAGTAGGCAGATAATAAATTACAATATTCACATGCATATATTCTTTATCCTCTGTATAGAATGATGAATATTATTTAAGCTTACCAAGAAGGCTCACGCCAGAAGGAGCAGTGCAATGTCCATTGAATTAAAGCAAAAAATCGTTTTTAATTATTTGTCTTTTTAAAAAGTCGCTTTCATCTGCATCGCTTGGTGTGTGGCGAGCCTTATGCTAGCTTGTCACCCTTTTTTTCCCCCCCTTTACCTCAATGACACGCCTCTCACACACACACACACACACACACACACACACACACACACACACACACACACATCTTCCCCCCTCCACACGGCTTGCGTGACTCCCGACCATTTCCTGCTTTTTGTCTGCCAGATTCTCGGCACAATGAAGCCGTGGCGATAGTGATCTGAGTCAAAAGTACAATGGAGCTCATGATTGGGGGAGGAGGTTGTGGTTGGGGGGGCTGAAGTTGGAGACTTCTCCTGTGGTGGCAGACACTGTAATAATCCACTCGCCGTGTGCCTGGCATTCTGCATCAATGTCTCCGCTTATGATTAATGAAGGTTAATCATAAGTCATCATCGTATTGTAATAATTGTAATGTACTACAGGGCAGAACTTTATAGGTTGAAAACAATTCATTCCAGGATGCCGGGCGAGGCCCCGTAGGAAGCATTTTCCATTAGGAAATCATGTAATTGAGATTAATGTCTTTGGGGGTTTTACTGTTGCCGTTCTTAACTGCCCAAAAGACCAAAAGTGATCGACAGTATCTGTATATAGATTCACGAAAAATGGAGAGAATTTTTTTAATTTTTTTATTTTAGTTTTGATAGTTTTGATGATTTTAAGTTGGGTAAAGTAAAATAAGGTTTAAGGAAAGCTTAAACAAATAAAATAATTCGCCAAAGTTTTTATTAGTAAATAAAGTTTTGGAAAATGGCTTGCATCCAATCCAGCTCCCCTAAACTCCACCACAATTATTTTGTTGCACTTATATGTGAAGCAAACTAGCACTGTTTTGTGAATACAAAAATATGATGGAAGCAAATATAAAGAACGAAACTGGTTTTATGTGACTACACTCACTGGCATACATTCTTTATATCTGCAAAGAGTTACTGCCATTACTGCAGTTGACTGATTCACTTGCAGTCGACGTTCTTCTGAGTGACGTATTATACTGCCCCTAGTGGCCAAATCTCACACACCAGAAAGAGCCGCAAGGAATTACTCATGATGCACACTGTTTAATGATTTCAATTCTATTTCATCATATTAGCACAATTTGTTTTTATAAAGTCAAATCTAATCGCACTATTTTTTGCTGTTATAAATTTTGACTTCCAAGCGTCGTCAAACAACTCGTTTTTCAAGGCACCACTGTGTTCCTATGAAGAGTGAACTTTCAACATGCAAATGCATCGAATCTGTGACTCGAATTGTGGTTTTATGACATTTGGGGTCTTCGACCTATGTGACGCATCCCACCGTCCCCTCCCCCCTCCCCCACGCTCCCTCTTCTTATTCCAGTCAACACGTGAAGGAATCGTTTTATTCGGACCAGAAAAAGAGCTCGTTTGACAAATGGAACAAAGACGCTGCACTGTGCACTTGTTCTGTCTTGCTTGTTCTGTCTGCCCTTTGAAGCAGCTTCTCACTAAATAGGGAGCATTCTTCCACTGCCGGACCCAGTAAGAAAGGCTCCTTCTCCCAGTAAGCGGGGCTCTTCCAACCTACAAGCTCCCGAAGTGGGCACCCCCCCACCCCACTCAATTCCGTGAACCGAGACCCCTCCTCCACCCCTCGTACAGGACAAACAGCCATTCTTCTCTTCTCGCCCCTGTGACGGAGATCCTGGAGCCACCGGCTTTCTTTTCAGTGGCCGGAGGTGACGGGGCATGATGGATGGCGGGAGCTATTGTCGCTACCGCTTTATTTTGGGCTCAGAAATAACATGCAGTGCGTTTATACCAGGGGTGGGCGAACCTTTGTGCTCACGGGCCCCATTTGGTGTTTAAAACGGACGCATGGGCCAGCTCCTTTGTAATTAATGAGTCGTGTGGGGGAACTTACCGCAACAAACATTACCGTTCCACTTAGTACTTTACCTCGTGATTATGTACAGTAAATGCTCGCTGGCCCCTGCTTTCCCTTTACGTTTTCTGCATCGAGGCTACAAATGCATAGTCCTGCAGGTTATTTTATTTTCCGTAAAGATAAGTCGGCAACGACTCAGCATTTTTATTTTATTTTATTTTTTTTTTTCACGCTTCAAGAACGTGTACTCTCACTGTGGAAATGGAGGTACTAAACACCGTGGCCTGTTGTGAAAACAGACAATAGTGCCTGCGCAACGCGCAACACACAACAAAGCTTCAGCGGAACGGCCAACCTCGCCTCACCTCGGGTAACCCGAGGTAACCCGGTGCTCACCTCGCATTGCGTCATGCCTTTTTGCCGCAGGCCGTGGACTCCCGGGACTCGGTGGCCATGGCGCTGTACTCGCAGTGTTTCTCTTGGATCATTTTGAAGATCAACCAGAAGATTAAGGGCAAAGACAACTTCAAGTGCATCGGCATCCTGGACATCTTTGGATTTGAGAACTTTGAGGTGATCAATGCAAAGGGGTGTTCGGGCCGCACTGACATAGGAGGAAAAAAAAACAAATCACAAGATGAGGATTCAAAAATAGTTGAAAACTACAAAAATAAACCCAAATAGTCCTAATGTGTTCTGTATGTACATATTTCTGAACACACCCACGATTAGGCAACGGGGACTTAGGGTGCGATTGTGAGCTGCTCTTGGTCTGCTTTTTATGTAAAAATAAATTTCCCCCCAAAATGCGACTTATACCCAGGAAAGTCCAAAAAGGTACGGATGTTTAACGTAACCCAGACGGTCAAAGACATTTTGCCAAAATACAGGATGGATGGTCGAGGACTGCAAACTTTTTTGCCTCAGAAAAACGTGTTTATTCTCACAAGTTTATCTTGTTTTTTTTTTCTCTTCTCAATTTTATTGTCATAAATTTCCCCGTATTCCCCCATATTCAAGCGCACCGCTGCCGTTCTTCTACCGCGCAGGTCAACCGCTTTGAGCAGTTCAACATCAACTACGCCAACGAGAAGCTCCAGGAGTACTTCAACAAGCACATCTTCTCGCTGGAGCAGCTGGAATACAACAGGTCACCTGACTCAAATTACCCGCCACCGTCACAAGCAGTTTGTTTTCTTCGGCAAGCGTGGAACTGCAGCTCAGGCCGCTCACTGATGCCGTTCTCTTTCTCTGCGTGTTTATTTCTGCCTCTTTGTGCGCCTTTGCCCTTGCAGGGAAGGCATCCAGTGGGAGGCCATTGACTGGATGGACAACGCTGAGTGTCTGGATCTCATCGAGAAGGTATTTGACCTTTGACCTTCGCGACCTGGGACGTCCTGGGTGAAATATTATTCGAAACCAAAACTCTAGCTAGGTAATAGAGGATCAAATCCTTTCGGTAGGCCAGTCATTGCATTTATCTGCAGTCAAAAATTTAAAGGGAATACAATACAATTCAGCTTTATTTAAATAGAGCTCTCACAGCCGGCTGCAGCTGGAACAAAACGCTTTACAGAACATTTAAAATGCTACGTCCAAGAAATCAGAATATTGATCCATATATAAGGTGCATTGGATGAGGTGCACTGTCGGCTTTTGAGAAAATTGAATGCTTTTAGGTGCGCCTTATAGTGCGCAATATACGGAACTCGGCCATTGCGGAGTTCATTAAACATGTTTCCGTCGTATTTTAAATAGAAACATTTGAATTTCCGGTTTTAGTTTCGAAAGTGGCTGTCGTAGTCGTAGCACAAGTTTAAGTACAGTTGTAAATTGTCGCATATACCTTGTGGACTCGAAATGTAACAACCGTAACAGAATTCTTTTTTTTTTCCTGCCGATGTATTGTGTTATCGGTAGCGACTGTTTTTGAAACAGATGCATTTTAAGGGTCCAAAAGGGCTCGATCACACAAAGGGGATTTTGATCAGTGTTCACCTGAAAGCCAGACCTTTTCTCTATTTGTATCCGCACTTAACGAATGCGTATCAAAAATGAAGTTAGCCCACTCTCGCTCTCAGTGGCTCACGTGGGTGGGCAACATGCGTGTGTTGTCGTAAGAAAGGCTGATGTTTGTCGCGGTTCGCATGGTGACGCGCTGCACACAGACGGCAGCGTGCCTTTCACCTTCTCCTCTGTACTTGTCTTTTAGAAACTGGGCATGTTGGCTCTTATCAACGAGGAGAGCCGTTTCCCCAAAGGCACCGACTACACCCTCCTGGAGAAACTGCACAGCCGACACGCCGTGAGTCGGCGTGCGAGCACTTACACACACACACACACACACACACACACCTTCCATATCTTTCACGCTTTAGCAGACGCGAACAAATGCGCACGCAAGTACGTAAAATGATCCGGGGGGACCTCGGGAGGGTAAAATCGCCGTTTGCCAGGTCCAACGTCTATGCGGTGCATGAGAGCCGCATGAGAGCATGTTCATCTCACTCTCGCATGCGAACGCAACAATGCCGAAATGTGAGCAGCCTTTCTCTGAGTTTGATCAGCTTTGTGCGCAAAAAAAAAAAAAAAAAAAAGATGACGGAACAGGTAGAGCCACAAAATAAGAAGTGCCTAATCTATGGCTCTTTTATATAAAGAACTAAATCATATTCAATTTGCTTCACACCCCTTACATTACATAATATGACGGAACTCTCTCTCTTTTTTTTTTTTTTTAATTCTCTTGTCAGGCAAACCCATATTACGTGAAGCCCCGAGTGACCGACCATCAGTTTGGCATCAAGCACTACGCTGGAGAGGTAACCGACCCACGCACACACACACCCTCACGGTGGTCGACAGTCAATTTTATTTTTTTTAACACACCACAATGACGTTTAGAGCGTGACATCAACTAGCCGCTGATCACATTTTTTTTTGTCTTGAAGAGGAAGCAGTGCACTTGTAGGAACAGATCAGATCAGTGCGCCAAATGAAGTTAGTTCATTACCTGAATTGATTTAAGTCATTTTCTATTCCTTGAATGCACAACTTTGTTAAGTGAGGGGGAAATGGTTAAGGGGGAAAAAAAACTTTGGAGCCTGCCCAACCAAAGTAGACGCAGCGTGGAGAATTATTACACTGCACGCAAAGAGGTTTGTGAACATTTGCAAACAACGTACAATAAATTGTCGCCATGCAGAGCCCATTGTTGTGGTGGGCCCAGTACAAGGGCAAGGCTTCCCTGTTTCGCCAAGTTGTGGAAGTGTTACCTGGTTGTCCCGATGGTAAATGGAGTCCCATTAAGTTTAAATGTGACAGGAAAATAGAATTAGCCTTAACTAGAAAACGAGCCAAACAAAAAAAACGATAGCTTATTAACCACGTGACTAGCACCCAGCTAGCTAAAACACATAAGCTAATGGATTGACAAGATTAGCACAACAAAGCTAACTGTAACGTGAAGCTAGCAAGCGCGAGGTGTTATTTCAGGTCGCAGAATTTTTCCATCTTTATTGCACAGATAAGGGCCAAGTATGACACAAGCGAGAAGACACTGTGGCGTCACGGCCCTGCGAAGCACCTCAGTGTGTGCGCGAGCGAGGTAGCACAGCCGCAAGTCTCGCACGGATGCTTATGCTAATGACTTCATCCACTGAGGATAGCCCCTTTCCTCCACCCCTTTCCAGCCGTTGTGTGTTCCACTCTGGGCTGCTTCACTGTTTGTGTTAGTAGATCGCTGTCTTGTCACTTGAGGAAATGACTGCATCCTTCCCCCCCATCTAATTGAATTATTTGCCTTCTGCCTTACCCTGAGGTGGAATTTTTACACAAATCAAAAGACTCAGACAGAGTGAATCCTACAATGTTATGCATATCAACAGATATTTTATATCCTGGATATATTGGGCAAATTATAACTCGTCATTCCATCCTCAGATGGATAGATAATTGTCAAAATTCTTACACTTTCCATTTTGCTAACAAAAAAAAAATCAGTTATAAATATAGCCTTTTGGCATAATTAGATGATATTTCTCACCACATACTCCTACAACTAGAAAAAAAGCTTTATTTAATGTGATTAGTTTGTTTTTTTTCATTATGTACTTTATTGCTTTAGATCTGTCTGTCTGTCTGTCTGTCTGTCTGGCTAGCTAGCTTGCTAGCTATCAAATCATCTGCCTACTTGCCGGATTTTGTTGTCAATCTATGTGTAATTGACAATTGTGTGTAATTAAATTGATTGAACCTTAAAGACACACGCACACACACACACACACACACACACACACACACGCACGCACGCGCGCGCACACGGACACACACATACACAGAGGAGTCCTCTGTGAATTCTGAATGACGGAGCATCGCCATGGGTCTCATGGCTTCCCCTCAAGCCAAGCTGGCAAAAGGAGGGATTGTAGACTTGTCATTTGTTTGCGCCGCTCCCACGCGCACACACGCACACACACACACACACACACACACACACACACACACACACACACACACACACACAGACGCACGCACGCATGCGCGCCCACCCTCTCATTCTCAAGTGTTTTTTTGTGAACGTATGCGTACGGTTTAGATTGTGTGTTGAAATAATCATCTTTATTTTCATCTTGATACATGACTGTGGTTCCGGGAGCTCGCAGCAGTGGAATGCTGCGTTGCTAAGGCCCGACTAAACTCAACATGTGACGGAATTAACACACACACACACACACACACACACACACACGGGCCGCTCCCCTTTGTGTGTCTTTGTAGACAATGTGGCTCAAGCAGGAATTCACAAGCTTGCACCATATACACTGTACTGTTACTTTATTAGCGACACCTGCACATACTCGCGCTGGATCATAAAGGTAGAACCGACTAGAATTGCAACCCAAAAAAAACCCAAGCGGCAAATAAAACACGTATCATAACGTCATTAAAATGGATGTTGCAGGTGGTGGGAGCAAGGGAGCTGTCCAACTCACTTAAAAATAGTTCCTTGGCACCAAGATACCACAAAATAGCATTGCTTGGCCTGAGCGCAAAACATTGAGTTTAATTTTCTCTCGACTTGAGCAGTGGCTTATCTGAAGTTCGACTCGCAACAAAGCAAAAAAAAAAAAAAAATCTACCAAACTCTGGCTCTTAATTCAAAAACCTTGCAAGATGAGCTACTTGTAAGCCAAGGTAGCACTTTACTTAACTTGCGCCGCAGTCTACGACATGTATTGTTGAGTCTAACTGCTGTTTGTCCTTCCCCGGTGTTTGACCAAATGTAAAAATGTTTCTGTCTTAGGTCCTTTACGATGCACGCGGCATCCTGGAGAAGAACAGGGACACCTTCAGAGACGACATATTGTTCATTCTCAAAGACAGCAGGTAAACACCTTTTGTCGCAAATCCAACCCCCTCTTTCCAGTCACACACTCCGCATCAGGAACACAAACTGTGTGTCGTCAGGCTCGACTTCATCTACGACCTCTTTGAGCGCGTGGGCAGCAGGAACGGAGAAGAGACCATGAAGATGGGAACCGCCCGACGCAAGCCCACCGTCAGCTCTCAGTTCAGGGTGCGTATGCATCGATGGATCGATAGGTGCCGTCAGTGGCTTGTGCGAGCGATAGATGGAGGGATAAAAAAATGTCTGCATCATATTCCGAAGTGTGTCATGAAAACTGTTGACGTACATAATAACGGATGCGTAGGAGCGGAGAAATACATTTGAACAAATAATAGAAACAGTCTATTTGTAAGTATGCATCACACTGAAGGTACAGTGAATCTATACGGTGAATTATTTCGCTCTCACACAGTGGAGAATTGTTCTGCCAGTGAATAGTAAACGGCGTGAAGGAAAACGACACAGACCGGCTCATTGTCCTCCAAGTGCCACTGCACGCGAGGGTCATATCCCACCCCCAGTGTCGCGCACAAGACGGGCAGATAGACATCTCGCAGAATGCCGTCTGTGTATCTGAGCGGCCAAAATAATAGGGAGGATAGCTGTACGTGCTTTTTTTCGAGTGGAGCGGGAACGAGGGCTGGGGTGGGCTCGCAGTCCAGTTACTTTGTCCTAACTGCAGTGCGGAGAGAAGGGGGAACGGTGGGGGGGGGGGGTGGTGGCTTGGATTTGGCCGGCTGCCCAGGCCACAGTTTCTGAAGCCAGGGGGATTAGTGTTGATGGCTGGGCAGAGCGGGGCCAACCAGGGGCCAATCACGCTCAGCTCAGCCAGGCCAGGCCTCGATGGAGACAGCCTGTCTGAGGCGGGGAGGAGAGCCGGGCCCACACAGTCCAAGGGTCCCCCAATTGTGTGAACGTATGCGTGATGCATTCGGGTCGAATAGAAAGTCGGAAATATTCCACTCGGATCTCCAAAGCTCTCTGACAACTAAACGATGATTGCAGCGTGTCTCATTCAGTAGTCTTGTACAGTTCACTTGTATTGAACTTTTAGGTTTTCTCTCTCTCTCTCTCTAATACGCATAATATAATTTTATCTGCTTTGACCCTAAAAAGATTTTTAATTGCCGATAAATGCCGCCAGATGTTGGCAAAGCTCTACTTATGTCGAAATGAAACTCCTCAACTCACTTCCACTTGGCTCCTTGACATCAGAGTGCCACCAGGTAACATCAAGCTCATGCTTTTATTGCTTTGGCGCAAGCTCAGAAGCTACGTGACTCGGACAGCCAATTACAAAGCACGAAAAGCACGAGAAGTATGTTTTTAGAATGTGGGAGGACGCCCAAGAAAACTGGCACAAGCACGGGGGGGAATCCAAATTCCACGCAAGAAGGTCTTGAGCTGAGTCGAGCCCAAAAACCTCAGTTTGTCTTCATAGCAAGTTCGAGTATTGCTGTGACATGAAGGCATATCCATATCGATTCACACACGCTCGGTCGCCGTCGTAATAATCCAAAAGGGGGTCTTCTCATACCTCGCAGTAGGTCATTTGCTTGAAACAGAACAGCTACTTTTAATCAAGACACCCAGGAATACTTTTACTCTTTTTTTTTTTGTTGTTTCAAATGAATTGAGGTCATGGAAAATGTTGGCACTAAAGCGGAGCCTTCTGTTTTTTCAGGAATCTCTCCATTCCCTCATGGCCACGCTAAGTGCCTCCAACCCTTTCTTTGTGCGCTGCATCAAACCGAACATGGCTAAGGTAGGTCCGATCAGTTCGAAGTGCTTCTCATTGTTGTCATCGCTTCGAGTTCATGTCCCGCTAAGTCATTTTACAGCGTAGCCGTAGACCTGACCACTAAGTCATAACAATACTGTATGAAAAAAACAGCCAGGTTATTTATTTATTTTTGGGGGCGGGGGTCTATATTTTCAATCCTAATAATCGCGGGCCGTTCCCCTCCGGCCCGATGCAAAGACTCCCTTTGTGCTCCTGGGCTGCGTACCAGCGCATTCCAACTACTCCAGCCCTTTTACAGGGGGTCAGAGGTCGCTCCAGCGCTCGGCTGATTTGGCTGCGTCAGTGGAATGCCAAAACGAAACCACAGCGGCGGCCGAGCCGGCGAGTGGTTTATGTATTCGTCCTGCGTTTCTCCCTTCCTCTTGACCACGTGGGCTATAAAAAGGGGGATTCGCTTGTCTGATTGTTGGATTGAGCCAATGTCTTGATTGTGTGTGTGTGTGTGTGTGTGTGTGTGTGTGTGTGTGTGTGTGTGTGTGTGTGTGTGTGTGTGTGTGTGTGTGTTGCTCGTTCTGAACCGCCTCTCCAAACATTCACACTCTTTCCTCTATCATCACCATTTCCTCTATGAAGCAGTTTGCTTCTTCCGTGACAATCGCATCATGTTTTTGTGGTTCAATAAAAAAAATGTAATAAAATAATACAATGCAGTCGTGTGGAGCTTCAAAAAAAACTGATTTTAGGTTGCAGTTTTGCTGGTGCAGCTACATTGACTCCAAATCTTCACCTAACCTGCATTGTTTTTGGAATGGCCCAGTCCGGATTCAAATATCGAAACTATGATGCCGATCACCACACAACCGTGCTGCCCGATAAAATATACCGAGCCAGATTTTCTGTTCCTATCGAGCACGGAAACATTTTGCTCTCGTCGCCCTCTCAATGGAAACGAGACATGCCTTCGTTCATCTGACAGATTTGCAGGATTACCGTCTTCTCATATGATTACACGCATCCCGACACACCCGCACAATTTATATTCATCCTCCCTCGCTGGGAGAAAAGTCGGCGAGAGGCCCGGCTTGTTTTCCTGCCAGCGCCTCTTTGAGTGGGCCTAAATCCCCCGCTAAAGAGCTCAGGGCTCCGAGCGCAGAGGAGGCGCTGGCCCGGCCTTCGTGCGTGGATGTGTGCGTTTCATTACGAGCATGAACACATGCGAGCATGAAAGGGCTTCCCTGCATAGTAACATGTGCACGCAATTAGATTGACACCTTTGCGGAATGCCTTGGCTCTATTTGGGGGGGCTTATCCGGCACCGCGTGCTCTCTGGGTGACAATGGGCCTTCGTGCGGACGTCTCAGGCACCACTCGACAAACTTATTGAGGCATCAAATAGATTAGCTGTTTTTTTTTTTTGTTTGTTTTTTTGTGGGCATAAAACAACCGCAATTGGCTCGCGACTGATCCAGGGTGCACCTCGCCTCTCAGCGGGGATAGACTGCAGCTCACCCATGTCCCTTATGTGGACAATGCTCATCGATATCGAGTCTGCCAATATCTTAGCAAGATTGACTCGCTTGACCCAAGTAATGACTTGTTTGATTCCCCCCCCCCCCCACAGTTTCGCTTGCGACTTTCAGATCACGACTCCTCGACTTGCGCGACTGACTCCCACCGCCGCTGTGTGTTTGTGTTGCTCTCGACAGAAAGCCAACCAGTTTGATCCAGACGTCGTTCTGAACCAGTTGAAATACTCGGGAATGCTGGAAACGGTGAAGATCCGCAAGGCGGGATTCCCTGTTCGCCGCTCCTTTCAGGATTTCTACAACAGGTCCGTGTGTTTTCTGCTCAGTTCGAATGGATGCGGTCAAAAAAAAAAAAAAAGGCGTCAACCTCCATTGTTGTTTTCTACGGGGGAGGGAAGAGGGGTAGATCAGGGGATGCCACCGATTTTTTCTCTTTTTTTTCCAACCATGGTCCCGTGTAGCCCTTTAAGACTCTTCAATGCAGTGGTGTCCACGCTACGGCACGGCGGCCATTTTTCAGCAGCCGGCTTGCTTATACCAGAAATAACATTTGTCACGCCCACTTCAACTAATGAATCGGTTCGTATCATAGAAATCCAGAGAAATTATTTATGACTGAAGTTCGAGCGCAATTTCTCTGCAGAGCATTGTGGTGAATGGAGATGGTTCACTTTTAGAATTTAGCAATGGTTAGCTCGCAAAAGTGTGCTCTCGTTCATTTGGAGGTGGGATTTGGTTGCTGTTCAGTGCAGGGGTGGATCTAGTCTGGTGGGACACCGGGCAAAGGTCACCCCAAAATTGGCCTTATCCCATTCAAAAGAAAGTTATGAAAGCTGTAGTAAATTATGTCACGGATTTTCCCAAATAACTACAAAATATCAGCAATAAGCTGCTTGATTGATTTCAGAGTGTGTGATTAACAAAAAAAGAATTTCCAACATCCTTCTGTTTTTCTGTATGGGGCCCTCAGATGACCCAAGTTTGGACACCCCTGCTTTAGTGATTAAGGGCATATCCAAATCAATTTGACTTGCATGTCATGTCGCTGCGTGTCCTCTTTTGAACCTCCTCGTAGATACAAGACGATCCTGAAGAGCAAAATCCAGACGGAAGACGAAAAGCAGAATTGCGCAGAGCTTCTGGCATGTCATGACAACACGAAGAAAGAATGGCAGCTTGGAAAGACAAAGGTAAAAAGACCGCCAAAGATTTTTTTTTTTTAAATAATCGACTGTAATGTGAAGAAAGTTGATGAATCAATGACACGTTGATATTTTTCACGTCTTGTTTGGGAAATGACGCCGCTTAAAATTGAATGATGGTCAAATTTTGAAAATCTCTTTTTCCCTTGTCAAAATGTGGCGTTCATGGTACTTGAGACACTTTTTTTTTTTTTGGTGTGTATTCCTTGCAAAATAGTATTTTCAGTGGCAAACTATCGTGCTTCTCTTGCCAAATACTCTTTTTGCTGTGGCGGAATTTGTGTTTTTTGTGGCCCAAGTGTTTACTGTGTCCAAATAGTTTTCTGCTGCCAAATGGAGTATTAGTTTTCCCCTCTCAAGGTTCCCAGGCTGTTCATGTGTGTCGCAGTTTGGACGCCCCTCGCCGTGACTCACGTCCCAAAGAATTTACTGGCAGGTTGCGGTCAGATGTTCTGCTCCCTTGTTGACAACCGCACGCTTTGGATGGCTTCTCCCCCAGATTTCACTCTCAGCGCATCGTGCGACTCAGCGCCAGCCGCCGAAAGCGGGTAATCCCGAGGCGGCCTCAATTGTTCACCTCCCGACGACGCTCACCGAATAATGATTAAACTGGCCGCTTTGGAAGCGACCGGGCTCTCAGGGGACACCTTTTTTGGCGCAGCCGTCTCTCTCCCGGCTCTCGATTTCAATCATTAACTCTTCCTTCGGAAGACCTGGTTTTTCGCAGCTTTCTCAATGAATGATTAACTTTTTAATAGCATGTTGGATTGTGAAGGGCAAACCCCCCCCCCCCCCGCGACAAATATCATATGCTGCGAATCCTCCACGTAAAATTTTTTTTTCGCTATCTTTTGTTTGCGACGCACCCATCTGGCTGATGCGCTAACCGCGCGTTTTGTACAGACGGCAGTTTTGAAGTCTCTTCATGAATACCCGGCCGGGCGCTAAACCGCCCGTGTAGACGCGGCGGTGAAAATGAAGCACATGGAGTCATCGTGTCGCACCGGGATCTCGTTTTTACGTGTCACGGTTTTGAACTTTGGCTAGATGACGGCTCCACTTGATAGTGCGGTTGGGCGTCCTTCGGTGCACATGGTCATGTTTTGAGATAGGGGGGAATGTTGTGTGGGTTGTGGGAAGAAGGCCGAGAGAGAGGGCCGTGTTTCCTTTGGAGGTGGAACAATCCATGTGTGATTATACGCTTGCTGATTGTGTTCGCGGAGGAAGTGTGAGAGCTGAATTGGGGGGGGGGGGGGGGGGGGGCTGGGGCGGGGGGGGCTA